GGGGGCTCCTTGGGGCTGGGCCCCCTTCCAGGCCAGCGATTTCTCCAGTTTGGTTTTAAAAAGCAATCCGTGACCTGGCAGAGGGGGTGGGGGAGGAAATGGGGCTCTGGTCACAGGTCCCACTGGCCGAGGGGTCAGGGGAGGGAGTAAGGGCTAGGTGGCAAGTGCCTCACCTGGGCAGTCCGCAGTCTCTTTGAAAGCTCGCTTCTTGCAGCAGCCCCGGCACAGGTTAAACACACACCTGTTGCCCTGGACACAGAAAAGCTACTGAGCTGTCTAGTGGGCTGTGCTGAGGCCAGGGCCTCCCAGGCCCCCGGCTGTACTCCCTGCAGACAAAGGGTTAGCAGGGACCACCCTCCCCACACCCCTGGGGCTGAGCCCCGCTGGGCAGCACTGCAGAAGGGCAGCTCACCTTGGGGTTCCCACACTGGTCGCACTTTGCGTATTTTGCTGGGAAAAGAACACAAGGGGGTCCCGGTGAGCCAGGTGAGCAGCCCCCCATGACCCCACGCAAAGCCTGCGGGCCCCAGTTTGCTGTGGCCGCCGGGCCACTCGGGGCGGCCAACATGCAGACTTGGTGCCCAGAACCCCAGGCCCTCGTCCTTCCCCCAAGGGCTCAGACTCTGCGGCCATGGCTGAGTCTCCCAGTCCCTCAGGAAGGCGGTCCCAAGCCCACAGCCTCTCCGGGTGCTTACGCTTCAGCGAGGGGTCGAAGGTCTTGTGGGGGTTCCTCAGCTGCTTCTTCTGCTTGTTCTTGGACAGGACGTCCGCGCCGCCCTCCTCCTCCTCCAGGGCCCGCTTACTGCGGGCGCCTGTGTTCTCCTTGCTCCCCTCCTTGGGCCTGGACGGGCAGGGCAGGGGCAGAGCTGAGAGGCCCCACGTCCGAGCTCTCAGGCTGCCGCTGGGCCAGCGTGGAGCCACGGGCACCGGGACTCTGGGGTCTGGCCTCTGAGCCAAGGCCGGGCTGTGGCCACGGATGGGGTCAGAGGGAAAAGATGTAAAACCTAAGCGTCCACGAGTAGGGGAGCCGCTGGGCACCTGGGAGGATGGGGCAGAGCGGGCTGTGCCCTCCGGGCCCTCCTGTGCCTGCCCGACCCGCGCCCGCATGCTCACCCCGGCCGGAAGTAGGGCTGGCAGATCCAGTGGAAGAAAGGCAGGCCGCCCGAGGGCTCCTCCCCCTCCTGCCGCGACATGTCCTCCTGCAAAAGGCCAGGGTCCCCGTCACCAGCCAGTCCCGGAGGCACCGGGCGGCTCCCAGCCCTGCACATGCCTGACACCGCAGCTTCAGCTCCTGGCTCACGGCGGCCACGCCCTCCAGGGTCTTCGCCTTGGCGAGCTCCTCGCGAAGCTGCTGGTGCACCTGCAGCCTGAGACAGACGCCATGAGCGGGCCTGCCCCCCGACCGAGCCCCGGGGAGCTGCCCTCTCCCACCCAGGCTGCCTCCCCGTCACCCAGCCCCTCAGAGCCTGATTTGGTGGCCAACCACCGATACGTTTCTGGAGACCTCGTCTGGAAACCCCCAGTGCCCAGGTGGGGCTCAGGCGGACGGGTCTGCCTCAGGGGCACTCACGTGTGGTGCCACAGCTTGAAGAGGTGGGCCCGGACGCAGGACAGCGGGCAGGGGTGCTGGCGCACCAGGTCCAGGTACTCCTCGGCCAGCTCCCACACGGCAGGGCTGCGGCCCTCGAACAGCGCGGGGTTGTGCAGGTTACCCTCTGCGGGAGGGGGAGGGGCTGAGCTCAGGGTGCTCATGACCTCAGAGGGACCCCCACCCCTGCCCCATCACACCAAGGGCAAGGCTGCTGCCAGCTCAGGGCATGAGGACAGCGCGAGGCCCGAGGCTGTTCAGCTGGGCCGGTGGCGTCACGATGTGGGGGTGAGCTCTCCTGGGACACGCCTGGGAGCAGCACCCCCGGCCCCTCACCTGGCAGCCGGCCTTCTCCAGCATCTGGGCGTACCTCACGGTCTTGTCAATCTCTGGGAAGACCCGGATCTTGCATGTGACCGGGACAGAGAGCTGCTCGTGGGCCCGCTGAACTGCGGAAGGAGGTGGCTTCTGACAAGCGGGTGCTCACCCTTGGGAGGTGGTGGTGACCCACAGCTAAGCCCCCAAAGCAGCACAGGCCCAGTGCAGACGGCTGCCACTTGACGCAGCCGAGAGACCCGCCTCCGCACCCCCAGGGCAGTGGAGGCGCCAGGACTGGGCGAGGACCCTGCCCCCTGCATGCGACAGGCCGACAGGCCACAGCCAGGCGAGCGCTGTGACCACGAGGTCTCTGCTGGCCACTGTCCTCTCCTCCGCCCAACCACACGCAGCCCGTCACCCACACGCGCCCACTCACTCATTCTCTGGAGCAGGTCCCACTCCTCCTGCAGGAAGGCGCCGTAGTGACCTGCAGTGACAAAGGTGGCCGTCTTCCCCCTCCTCCCGTGTCCACACCGGCTGAGAGCTGACCTCCAGGCTGGCCCCCCCTGCACGGGCCGCGCACCATCTTCTAAGCCCGCGGGCCGGGGCTCCCCGAGGGGGTGTCTCCAGGGAGACGGCCACTGAGCAGTTTCTCAGTGTCAGACTTGGTGGCTCTGTTTGCCCAGCTGCCCAGGCTCAAGGGCGCCGAACGGCAGGCCCGCCCCACAGTCTCTGACCACCAGCCACTCCCCAGGCCCCACCCAAGGGGAACAGCCACTGGGGCTGCGTCAGCAAAACACATTCACCCAAGGGGAGCCCGTCCACTTCCCAGGCACTTGGGCGAGTGAGGAGCCGCTGAGAGCCTGCAGCCCTGCCCCACCTGGAGCCTCGCCCGGCCCCCGCGACTCACCCCGCTTGGCTATCATCTGGGGGCAGCCCAAGTTCAGGTCGATGGCATCACAGTAGTCCTGCGCCAGGAGCGCCGCCTGGACAAACACCTCCGGGTCGTTGGCACAGAACTGGGGGAGACGGGACCGTCACCAGGAACCGGAGCCAGGCCCTGGCCCTTGGCGGCCCACGGGGTTCACGTGGGGTCCGAGTGGGGGCGTGTCCCAGGGGCTGACCATAGGCTGGCCTCCTGTCCTAAATGCTTACAAAACGACTGAGTTGGGACACACCGCCCCCTCTCCCCCCTCACTGTCCTGGTGAAGGGCAGCGTGAGGGCGCCCGGGGGAGGGCAGGGGGCCACAGCCCTGTCCTGGCAGCCAACTGTCCATTCGCCAAGGTCTGAGCAAGCAGCGCCCGAAGGGGTCGAGCTCTGAGAAAGCTGCAGGTGGGCCCGGCTGCCACAGCACCCCCCCCCCCTAATCAGAGCTGAGACCCAGGAGCTCCCAGGTGTGCGGCTCAGGTCCCCGCACCTGCACAATGAGGGGCCGGTCCTCGGGGCACACCTCGCCGTACAGGTTCTCCTTCCGGTAGTTGGCGTCGCGGACGAAGACCTGGGCGTGCAGCATGGGCGTGTAGCAGAGCTGGGCCCCGTGGCGGCGACTCAGCAGCCTCCAGGCCAGCTCGCTCTGGTCCACCATAGCTCCCAGGTGTGCGGCTCAGGTCCCCGCACCTGCACAATGAGGGGCCGGTCCTCGGGGCACACCTCGCCGTACAGGTTCTCCTTCCGGTAGTTGGCGTCGCGGACGAAGACCTGGGCGTGCAGCATGGGCGTGTAGCAGAGCTGGGCCCCGTGGCGGCGACTCAGCAGCCTCCAGGCCAGCTCGCTCTGGTCCACCATGGGGGCCACCACGTGGCGGGCCCCCCCCAGGGTGCGGCTCCAGAACTCGAAGCCCTGCAGCTTTGGCATCTCGTCTCCACTCTGCGGAGGGGGAGGGGGTCAGCGGCCA